CAGCTCCAATTGGCAATGTACAGCGGATGAGTGCGTAGCAGTGCCCATCGACGCCTACCACACCCTTGGGCGACCAGAGGTCGTAGTGCGACGAGCCCCCGAAGCGAGTGGCCAGTGGCCGGCCGGTGCTGCGCCGCGCGTGGTACTTGGCGTTCGCCTGCAGCGCGGCGTCGTCGAGGCCCTCGTTGCGGTCCATCTTGGAGAGGTCTGGCACGCCGTCCGCGATCTTGCTGAGGTCCTTTAGCGCGTCGCCGGAGATGCACAGGGCGTGCCGCCAGAAGGTGCCATCCGTCGGGCGCCGCCCCGGCTTGCCGCGCACGATGGCCTTGGCGGCGTTGGCGCCGACGGATGCGCCGAGCGGCATCAGGTGGATGTTGAAGTCCTCCCCGAAGTAGATGGTCTGCCCGGAGGGGTAGTTGAAGCGTGGTGGGCAGAGGTCGAAGCGGACCACGATGTTCTGCGCCTTGCACTCCTTGACGCTGACGAGAGGCATGGCGAGTCCGGGCGCGTACAGCGCGTTCACCCACTCGGTGTTCACAACCTTGGTGTCCTGCGGCTTGGTCGGGTCAGCCAGCGCGAAGGCGTACGCGGTGCCGACGCCCTTCGCCTTGAGGTAGTCGTTGTTTGCGCAGCGGATGTAGATGGGCTTCTCGGGCTCGCGCCACCCGTGAGGGAAGTAGTCGGGCGTCGGGAACATGTTCATGCCCGCCTTGGAGTCGACGCCAGCGGCATACGATCCCGGCATGTTCACACCGGCGGTCGTGTCGTACGCGTCGACGACCTTGACATGCCCGACAAGCGCGTGTGCCTGCATCGCGTCCATGCGCGCCACGTACATGGCGAGCATGATGCACGTGTACGAGAGGACGAGCGGGACCGTCTTGGGCACGTCGATGTCATTCACTGCGCGGAACATGTCGCCCGCGACCTTGCGGTAGATCGGCTGGAGCGGGTCCTCCTCGATGGCGTACTCTGCTCCGCCACCTGAGCCAGTCGCCGGCCCGGTGGACAGCTCGAGGGGTAGTGCGGTGACGGACTCGACCATCACGCCCATGTTCGAGGGCTCGTCCACGGCGTCGGCCACAGGCGTGCCGATCGAGGCAGGCGAGCCCATGTAGACCGGGATGAGGCACGCGAGCAGGACGAGTAGGATGGAAGCGCCGATGTACGGGCGAGGCAGCGCGGTGACGAACGAGGTGAACTTGACCCACAGCCCGCCGCGCGCCCGTGCCTCCGCCGCATTGCGCGCCGCCGTCTTGGCCTTGAGGATGGCGGGCGTGTCGGTGGGGTTGGAGTCGGGGAAGGTGTCCTCGACCTGGTCGGTGCCGACGCCAGCGACAAAGCCGCCGACGATGCCGTCCGGGTCGAACGTGCGGGTGACAGAGTCGGCCAGCGCCGCCCGCACCTCCTCGTGGTCGGTCGCGGTGGAGTCCGACTTCTTGAAGGGGTCGTGCGGGAGGGTGCGGCCGGGGGACTTGGCGCACACCTTCTTGTACGAGGACTGGGCCATGCGCACCTTCGTCTCGTGGTCGATGCGGTCGGGGAGTTCCTCGAGCACCTTGGCGACAGGGACCCCCTTGCAGATGAGGTCGCCGATGCACTTGCCACCGTGCAACCCATTGCAGTGGGGGCACGGCTTGCGCCCAGCGGCCGCGCGGCCGCCGCGGTCCCCGCCGCCCTTGTCGGACTTGATCTGCGCCTGGAGAGCGGCGACCTGGGACTCGGCGGCCGCGAGCTTCTCCTTGAGCACGCCTTGCGAGGCAATCTCCGCCTCGAACGCCGCCTGCGCAGCCGCCTTGGCCTCGTTGGCGCGGTCCGCGTTGTCTTGGTCGAGGATGCCCTGCATCGCGAGCGTGGACGCCTTGAGGCCGTACGTCTTGCCCGATTGCGCGGCGAGTTGGCGCTGTATGCCGATCTGCACGCGCATGTTTGCGCCGAGCGTGGCCCCCTTGGCGGCGATCGCGTCGAGGATGTATTCCTCGATCACCTCGTCGGGGAGGTGCCACTGGGAGTCCTTGAGCAACTTGTTCGCCTGCTCGATGCCCGTCTTGAACTTGGCGAGGCTCGCGGACGTGAGGTCCTTGAGAGCGTCGGGGGAGTACGCCTTCTCGAGATCCGCGCGCAGCGCCTTCGTGCGCACGTTCTTGGAGTTCGTGTCCTCCGACTCGATGAGCGACTTGATCGCCGCGATGCCCTTCTTGATGTCGTCGTAGTGGTCGGCGTCCTCGTCCGCCAACATCTCGGCGAGCGTGTCGTCGTCCTTGACGGCGTTCTGCAGCGCACCGTAGAGTTGGCGCGACAGAGTCACCGACAGGTCCTTGAAGAACTTGTCGATCATGGCCGGGATGAGGCCGTCCGCAGTGCCGATGTTCTTGTAGCGCACGTGCAGCGCGACCGCCTCGGCCTCGCGCTCCGCGCCCGGCCGGATGGTGCCCACCTCGATGATGTCGAGGAGGTACTTGTGTTGCTTCGCCGCGGTCCGCAGGTTGCGGAACCACTCGTTGAACTCCCGCTCGGAGCTCTGTTTGTAGGCCGGAATCACCAGCTTGTCCGTCGACGACATGTTGTCGTAATGTCCCGGGGATCGTTGCCCCGCCGCCACCAACTGTGAAGGTCTTCAGTGACCACTCACAAGCTGTTCCAAGGCCCGACAGAAATGTACTGTCAAAACTTTGTTCAAACAAAAGTCCTGGCCCGCGGCCCCCACACCCACAATGACTATCAATCCAGGCTGCGGGTGAAGGGCAAAACCGCGCCGCTGCAGAACGGTTTTTGCAAAACCGCGCCGCAGCGGTACGAAACTGCGCAGATGCAGTCCAGGGGTGGTAAGGACTCTATGTGTGTGTGTGTGGCCGTAGACTAGACGGCTGCGCGGTCGTCGGTCTTCAACACGGAGCCTGTGACCGCGGACGAGACGCCCGACGAGTCGGACAAGGCTACGCTCGACAACAACGTGACCCGCGGCGACTCCGTCTTCCTCCCCACCACCGACAACCACGCCGGGGGGCTGACCCTAGCATCATCACGCCATACATCCTGCAGACCAAGGGCCAGACGCCGGCCTACCTGCGCAAGTACTTCGCCGAGAACGAGGGAAAGGACGGCCACACGTTCCGCGGAGGAGTTGCGTTCTGCGACAACGAGATCGTCCTCAACTCCAGCGCCGTGCGCGAGCTCTGCCTCAAGTACGGCAATCACCCTCCGCAACAGCCGAACTATATGAGTTGACCAACTGATCTACAGTCAGTCTGCGCAGACTGGCTGTAGTGTCATGTAGATCAGTTGGTCAACTCATATAGTTCGACAGAACGAGGACGAGGCGGACGAGGAGGACGAGGGCGTGATCAGCAACACAGAGCGGTACGACCCGGCCACATACGCTTGGGAGGAGGTGGCGTCGATGGTGTGACGGCACGGCACTCCCCTTTCGTTGCCGTGTTGTAGTGGTCGAGGCCATGAGCGCGGCTAGGCGGCTTTCGTGGTGTATGCTTTGGTGAAGGTAAGGGCCGTAAGGTGTGCCTTTGAGGTATGGGGTTCCCTCGGCGCCAAAAGGGCCGGGGGGGTACTGGTGTCCTCGCTGACCGCCCAAGGCCAGTGGACACGGTGGGGGCCCGGGGCTGGCTCCTCCTGACCGGGTGAAAACCAGGTAAATAAATAAATAAAACGGACACCTCTACTAGGAGATGGGTAAAAAGGAACAGGTCCCCGCCCTTGCGGTCTTTGTGCAGGGTTCTTTGTGGGTGTGGTCGGCGACTAGCCGGGGTCGTCCTCCCGATGGGGGACTAGCACTAGCCGTCTTCCACATGGTCCCTCGGGTCCCTGCTGCTCCTAATCTCGTCGTACATCCTCCTGCTGATCTCCGCAACATCCTGCTCCCTCCCTCGTCTCGCCCTGCGCGTCTGCTCCGCCTCACCGTCGTCTGCCCTGCGTCGTCTGGTGACGGGTCCTCCATAGTCGGTCGAGGTCGCCGCCCTCCTCGTGCCTCTTCCCAGCGTTCCCTCGGCCAGGTAAGGTAAGGTAAGGTAAATTTCTCCACACACACAAAGTGGTGGGGCAAGGGGGGGCGACCCTCGCATCTCCACACCCGGACACGGGCAGGAGCCCCACGGCATTCAAAGTGCAAGCACTGGCCCGGTGCACGTGGGTGAGCAGCCTGCCCCTCCCTCCCGACAAACCAACTCCCGCACACACACAATCGCACTCTGGCCATCGAATGACTCCGAATGACTCACTGTGTGTGCTAAGACAGAATCTCCGCAGACAGCCAAAACGGGCCGTGCCGCGTTTGTGGTGTCCTCTCAAGCACTAGCATCTGGGCGCCGCACTCGAGTGGGCGGGTCACATCTATGTGGGTGCTTACCGTAAAAACAGCAGTACTGGTAGTACGGCAAACGGAGACACCACACACAAGCCGGATTGAATCCTATGGACAGCCTATGGCTATGCTGTACTTGCAGGGAGCTATACTATGGCCCTGCTTGAGGTCACTGTGCGACCGTCTTCACCTACGCCGACTGCCTCCTCTCCTCCCCTTGGCCTTACCAGCGCGGCTCGTCACAGCAGCAGAACCGCCAAACCCGGTGCCTGTGGAGGCTGAAGCTTCGACTTTCTGCGCTTCACCCTCGCCGCCGCCGCCCTCGCCGCCGCCCTCTCCCCCGCGCGCCTCGACCAGCACGATGTGCGTCCCCCACTGGCTCGCCACGGTGCAGAGCCGCCCCACCTCGGCGGTCTGGACGAGCCTGTCAAAGGCGGCCGTGTCCTTGCCGTCGTACGGCATGGAGTCGCCGCTCAGAGTGCCTTCGCGCAGCCGGCTCAGTGACGCAAAGGTCCCGAGCGCCCCGTGCAGGTCGCGCGTCGGGCACGCAGAGAAGCGCAGCGCCGCATCGTCGAAGTCGATCTCGCCGCGCTCGATACGAGCGGTGAGCGCCGCCGCCTTTGCCTCGCAGTCGCCTTCGCTCGCGAGGAAGAGGATGTGACGCGCGCGCACGAAGCCTTCCGGGACAAACGAATCGTCCTCGTACGCCGCCTTGACGCCGTCCGCAATCGACTTGGCACCGTCCGCGACCGACCTGGCGCCGTCCAGCAGGCCCATCAGCGGTGCCGCAGCCGCACGTGCCGCAGCCGCGCTAC